AGTGGTCTTTCTGCAGCTCTATACTTCCTACGCTCTCTGTAAAGCTCAGTTTTAGATGGATTAATGTAACACACAAATCACAAGCAATCTTTTAGCAAGCAAGCAAAATACCAAAGCGGAAGTGAGAATAGACTTGCATGCAGAAGTCACACTAGTATATCAGCACTCAAAAAGAGACCAATATCAACGTCCCCAATATAGATACAATTTGTTGATGTAAAGATGAGGGTGATTGCAGAGTTTCTGCTTCAAGGGCCATCTACTGATAAGGGTTGTTCAGGACAGACAGGCCAGCAAGCAAGCAAAGGCACTCATCACAGACACAGGCATTGCTTGACCTATTTCTCAATATTCTAGATTTTTAGCCCTGTCATCAGGGATGTCTGACACTTAAAACTGTAAACAGGAGGAAGTTCAATGCAAATCAGCATTGAGCTGAATTCTGACCATGTTATTTCTCCATTTTTATAAAAGTAGACTTAAATATCATTGATTCTCAGTAAAAGCTGACCCTCAAGCAATGCTACAGGTCTACAGCCCTTCATGCCAAGAAGTTCCATTTAGAGGTTGGAACTCCACATGAAAATTCTCAGCCTCAGTTCTCCAATGTGCAACATTAAAAAATTGTTCACAGTGCTCAGGAGGTAACTTTTTAAGCAACAAAATTCATGCACAGAATCTGTTTAGACTTTTAACATTTTCTTTTGTAGAAATATAAAATATTTAAAGACTCTATTTAAATATATTTTTAATATAAATAGGTATAAAAATGTTTCCTTTGTGAGCATAACATTTTGCCACACTATAAAGTATTTTTTATATTGGATGGTTTTATATAAATTATTTCAACTTATAATGTAAACCATCAAAGAGAGAAACAAGAATCAAAACAGGATGCTTAGCTAAGAAGAAAGACTTAGCAGCATGGAACACAAGCAAATGATTCATTCATGAGCTCTAAGTAAATATAACGTAAATAATTAAACCTCAACAATCCTGAGAGGTGGCAAAGTATCACCACCCCTATTTAACATGTTAATCATAGTATTTATGTTCCACTACAGAATAACAATGTAATTACAGATTCCCAGACAGCAGCTTTCAGTGCATGTTCCATAAGGAGAGAATGCCTATCAGCTCTCCACACTATGTTACTGATAAAGAGTAGTCTTACACCCCCTGTGTGATCAGACCTCTCACGCTACCCCTGTATCTTCCAAGTGCCAGGCAGCAGCAATCAAATCTTTGGTGAATATGAAAAATACATTAACATATACACACCTCCCACCCTGTTCAACAATACTAGTAAGTTTTCTGACAAGGACAACAAGGATGTCAAGGCCTGCACATATGCTCCCTCTTTCCCGCAGCAGCCACTCTCAGCCGACATGATTTTGCTTGAAGCATGAAAGGAAGAGAACAAGGAAGAGACCGAAGGGAAGAGCGTGTGGCATCAACTTTACAACACCATGTTACTGTGGCACTTTCCTCCCTTCTCTCCACACCTACCTATGTCCCAAAATCCACATATCCCAGCTACACAGCCCCTCTGCCACTTTGCTGGTGACTGGAAGGCACATAGGCTGACTCTGTCGAGAGCTGAGGAGAAAAACCAGGTGACACCACAAGCCAGGGAGGAGATGAGGACAGAGGTGTCACAGCATGGTGACAAAGGGCGGTTCAGACTGCAGCACAGAATTAGAATCACTGATACCATGCTAACAATGTTTAACAACCGGTGTGCCAGAACAATTAGAGTTACACCACCACTGCAGGATTGACATCCTGGCCAAGGCTGACCACACGCTGAGGAAGGTATTTGCAGTATGTTACAAAAATAAGATTCAGAGCTGTTAGAAGGGTTAATTGAGAGACACAAATCTCAAATCACTACCTGAGTAAGCATTAGATAGAGATGTTTTCAAGAGACAGAAATTCCATGATTTATGCAGGGAGATCACTGGAATAGGAGCATTCCAAAGCCAGTAACACTGTCTGTAGAAGGTTATAACCTCAAAGGATGGATTTCTCACTTAAATTGTTCCCAATCTATCTCTCATCTCAAATAACAGGGACCTTGATTCTCAAATTATTCCATAGCTATTCAGGATAACCTTAAAAGGGTTCTCTGTTTTCTTCATGTCTATTATGTCTGAAAGTGTAATCTTCCCATCTTGCTCACTCCATCATTAAGTTCACCTTCTACAAAGCTGAAATAGGAGATATTCAATCCACATATCACCCAAGATGCCCAGCCACAAGTTGCACCAGCAGAGGTTTACATAAGATATTAACAAAAAATTATTCACTGACACAGTTATCAAGCATTGGAACAGGGTGCACAGGGAAGTGGTTGTATCAACCACCCTACAGCTGTTTAAAGGAGTGTAGACGTGGCACTTAGAGACGTGGTTAGTGGTGAACATGGTAGTGCTGGGTTAACAAATGATTCCATGCCTGTGAATTAAACACCTCCTTCCCACCACTCCCTATGTAGACCAGAGCATGAAATTTAGATGCACGCTACAAGCCTGATTCTAAACAAATCAAGAGAATACTAGAAAAACATCCTCTTCCCTTACTGTACCTCCCAATACAAGGAACCATTACCTCCTCCGTGAAAACCAGGTACAGCAGAGGTGACAACAGAGATCTGCCTCAACACATCAAAGGATCTGTTGACTGTTTTTGTGAAAACCTATGAACAAGCAGGGCTCCAAGTCTTACCCAAGGAAACCACACCAACACTTGAAGCCAGTGTTGCAGAGCCCTGTGTTCTGTCCGTGAGCTATGGATTTTGTGAACAAATTGTGAGAAGACAGGATGACAAAGATCAGGTTAGTAACAGAAATCTCTTCCATATTTCATCTAGTGAAAGGTGTCCCTGCCCAGGGCTGGGAGAAGGGTTAGAACTACATGATCTTTAAGGTTCCTTCCAACCCGAACCATTCTGTGATAAAGAAAACAAAATAAATCACACAGCTGACGTTTGCAAACATCACCAGGGCACAGCCGCGGTCCCCGGCCCCTCGCTGCCGAGCAGGATGTGCTGGAATACGGACCCCGCGGTCAGGATACAGTGTACAGACACGCAAGAGAGTAGATTACCTAACACTTTAAATAGTTGCACTTTTAAAGGGAATATTCAAGGCTTGGAGCATTTTACCAAAGCGACTGAGCACTGAGTGTTTTTTTATAAATAATTAGTAATAATAATTAGTAATAATACACTCAGAAACCTGCGGATAGTCCTGTCCCGCCTGTGGCTCAAGTGAGGCTAGTGACAGCGGACAATGCCATCCGCATGCCCACGAAAACCCCCTCCCGCCCGCCCCCGGCTCCCAGGTACCGGCTGGCTCAGGTAGCGCGTCAGGTATGGTCCAGCTGCCGGCGCAGCGCCCCTGCGGAGGCGGGGAGGGGCGGGCAGGGCGCCGGCCGCGCCGAGGAGCGGGAGAACCAGGAGGAGCCGCAGCATCGCCGCGGGCAGAAGGAGAAGAAAGAGAAGGAGGACGAGAAGGAGAAGGATCAGCGCTTTATCCTGGCCCCGCTCCCGGCCGGGGCTGCCCCGAGCGGGACCCGGTGGGGGGGCGGGGCCAGCCCGGCACGTGCAGGGGCCGGCACTGAGCAGCGGAGCCTTCCGATTGGCTGAGCAGTCGGGGATGAACTCGCGCGCCCGTTCGCGGTTGGCTGAGGCCACTTCAACAGGTGTTTCGGGCGAGCGACTTCCCGCGAGGGGACAACGATTGGCTGCGCGGAGCACGTGATCCGCCCACCTCGGCGCTGCGTGGTGGAGGCGCTCTGACCCCTCCGTGCGTTGTGATTGGGCGAACCGAGGCGTCCTGCCGTCGCGCTGAGTCACGATTGGCTGAGCGCCGCCTCGTCCCGCCCCTACCAGGGGCCCGCAGCAGCCCGCACTTCCGCCCTTCCGCCGTGGCCTCAGTGCCGGGGCGAGCAGGGGGCGCTGAGCGTAGCCCCGGCTCCGCCCCGCCCCTCGGCCCGTGCGGGGAGGCTCAGGGGGGAAAACTGGGTGTGAGACGTGTTAGCGACTCGCGTTTTGCTTTTCCTCGGGGAGAAGGCGAGGCGGAAGGATCACTAGAGGGCACCAGGCACCGGCGGGAGCCGCGGGGAGAGCCGGGCTGCCGAGAGGCAGCGAGCGCGGCGGGAGCACCTGGAGGGCTCGTGGTTCCCCGGCCGAGCGCTGAGGTTTGGGTTGCTTTGTTTATTACAAAAAATTAAAGTAAAACAGATTTGTTTGTACTGTGCTCTTTTAACTTGTGTCGAGACAACGAGTTTTGTATTTCTTCCAAAGAGGAATAGAGCTACAGATCTTGAGCCTCTTTGCCCTTGCCAGAACCTGCGCGAGCACTTACACGCTGCGTTATATCCCTTGTATTTCAATGGAATATTTGCAGTGTTTTCTGCTTTTTGGGATGCGTTTTTGTTTTTTTCTAATGTCTTTTAAAAGTGCAGGTAAAAAAAACCGTAAGCTTTTGTTTCTCTAGTTCTGAGTTGAAGACCAGTGTTTGCAGAATTACAAGTGTAGAATCATTTCAGTTTTTAACCCCATGTTGTGACTTCACTCTAAATTAAGGAAAAAAATCAGAAAATGATTTGCCGTAGTGCTGCATTCAAGGTTAGACTAAAGATTCCCTAAATACGAATGAGAATTTGTATGATCTGTCTGCAATAGTGTGCAACACCGTGAACACTTCCTTCTTATTACATAGCTTCATCCTTTTTTTTTTTCTCTTTTTAAAGAGTTAATTAGGAGTAATAATAGATGTTACTTTAATTGAGTTATTATTCAAACAATGGTCATTTTTTTCCTGAGGGCTGCTTTTCAGAGTGTTCAAGCAACCCAACTAAAAGCAGTTAATATTAACATCTCATAAAATGAGAACTCTTCAAATCATTTCAACTTACTCATTTCAGGTGATGCTGTGAGAACATGAGTAGTGTGAAGGGACTTTTGGCTGCCTCTGTGATTTCCATCCAGAATTCCTGCTTCATCTATCCTGCCTGTCAAAACTGCTTATCTAGGCTGATACTGGATTCTAGGAGGTATGTCCTGTTTTGGGGATCATTAACTGTTTTTCATTAACTTGGGAATCTCTGTTAGCTGAACACAAGTTGAAGGAAATTGGTGAAAATCCAGCTGTTGTAGAAAAAAGTGCTGGTTTCAGATATTTATGTTGCTTATCACTATTTGAATCTCTTTGTATTCCAGTAGCAGCTTGGAGATCATTGTGGACCGAGGATTCTATTGCATTTAGTGCCATGCAATATCAAAGGACAGTTTAGCAGAATAAATGATGTGTGTTAATGGCTTCCAAGTGCATCCCCTACAGTCTGTCCAGTCCCTCTATGCTGTTCTTAAGTTGGAAAGCATTGACTGAAAGCCCCTCTAAATGAAATTCTGATTTGATTTTTTTTCATCTCGTTCTATATGTGCAACCCACCAGGTAGTCCTGTATGACTCTTCCGCTGACTGTGTGTCCAGAAATGTGTGAGCTTTCCTTTCTAATTGCAGTGTTGGGTGAAGAACAGTAAATCATTGAATGTCAGCACTGAGTGGAAGGAGCTGACTTTGTAAAGCAGGGATATCTCTTGTTTCAAATGCTGAAGTACAAGGTAACAGTGCTGGGTCCTGATGATTTTTTTTTAAACCTAGATATTTATACTAATGCTGCAGGATGAAAAATCCCAACCCAGAATGAAACTTGAAAAATCAGAGTGCAGGGAATTGAAAATTACACTCCAACAGTCACTCAAAGCCCACCGACTCTCCAATTTCACAAGAGGGTAGCATTTAATACATTAGTAAAAGAAACCAGAGGCATTCTGTCATGATACGGACACCTTGCTCTGAGCCTTTGGTAAGATTAATGCCTCAAGAAGTACAGAAGAAGAAAAAACATCTTACAGCTTTTGATGGAATATTTGATACATTATAGTAGTACTACAGCAGGTAACTTCTTACCTCAGCAGTAATTAACAGAAGTTCATGTATTCAATCTTTTTTATCCTTTTACTGTCTTTTGTCAGGTTTAATTGTCTAAAATGTGGCTGCACAGGTGAAGCTAAAGATGCAAGCTACAGATATAGATTGTCCCTAAAGATTGCTGACACTAGTGATTTGTTTGACATCACTGTTTTTGGAGGTTGCTTAGATCCATTCTTTGGGGTCACCGCAGAAAATCTGCAGAGGTAAGGAATGGATTCTGTCTGACCATATAGCTGCTGCTTTTTTATTTAGCCTAAAAAAATTGAGATGAGCCTAGATGGTGGGGAAATGAGTGAGAAGAAGCTACTGAAGTGCTCCAGCATTTCCTTAGTACCAATCACCTTGAGAAAATGCTGAAATTTGATTTTATTTTTTTTCTCTGAAACCTTTGCATCTTGAGATGGATTGCTTCTAGGTAGTAGAAGAAATCCTCCACTTGTCTGTTGAAGGCAGCTACTACTTGCTAAGTGAGCTTCACAGTTTGGTTGGTTTGACTTCTTCCTTGTGTCCTTTCTTCTTTATTTGAGATAGAGCCTCTGGGTTTTGTTTTTTTAACAGTTTGGATGCACTTGTGACTTTTCTTTAGTATGATCAGATTTTCCTTTAGAGAGAAGGGATTTCTGAGAAAGCCTGTTAGTCCTCAGAGCCTGACAATGCACATTACAGGCTTCAGATTTTCTGAAATGTGAAACTGCTGGGATGGGATATTCAGATGCGTTCCCTGCTTCTTTCTCTAGTCTGTTATTTTCCAGTGCCTTGTTTTATCACTGGCTCAAGGACAAATGCTTTTTTAATCCCATATTAGCAGCATAAATAACATACTCATGGCAGGCATTCTGCCCTGCACTGCTGTACTGCTGTCAGCCATGAAAAGCAGTTTTTTCCGTGTATGGATACTGCTGTGCTGTAGAGGTCTGGGCAGGAAGGATGTGTAAGCAATAGCAGCATATTGACAGCCTTATACAGTCACTGTGTTCATCAAAAAAATCACAACCGCGCAGGGAACACTCAAAAATTGTGAATGTATTAAACCTACTCAGAGTGGTTGTTTTGTTTACTTCTATTTCACTAACAATTTGAGTGAACTAAGCAGTCGAATTCATAGGTTCCTGTTTTCATTCCATGTTTAGTTTAAACTACCACAAAATTTTCTCCTTAATATGTGTCCTCTTTAGCACTATAGTACAGCTCAAATACTATGTAGGGCTTCCTCTGTCAGTCCAGTACTTCTGTATGTTTTTACTCAAGGTATATTCAAGACTTCAGTCAGCTGTCGGGAGAAACAAATGCAGAGGCACCTACAGGATTATTAGTTCAAGCAGTGGAAACCTGTTTCATTGGAAAAAGATTTATATTTGGATTGAAGGTAATTTTAATCCATGTTACTCTCTTTTAATGAGTTTTTTTCACCAGGTTTTGTAGCCAATAAGGAGTATAGACTGAGTTATCAATGAATCATGTACAACATCTCTTGGGAATTTGAGAAGATTTAAGGCTAGGACATGAGAAGGTTTCTGCTTCTTTTCCCCAAGACTCCTGTGTTATTTCAGATGAGTCACATCCAAAAGTCATCTTGAATGGCAGTAGTCAGCTTGACAGCTTGTCAGGGTGCTTTTCAGAGAGCCTGAGCAGTGCCAGCTCCTGTGCATATCAGTAACAGCTTGGAGTCTGTAAAAAACCATATACGGTTTGAGCAAGAAACAAGACTGTCTTTCCAAGCACTGCCCTACCTTTCCCATGCTGTGTGGTCTCCTAGTGTCTGAAATGTAAGGAGAAACGCATCCCCCTGCACCCTTTTAATATTTTTGGATTTAAGAGCATGTTTCAAATTGTTGATAAAGTACAGCATCTGCATGTGTGGCTCTTCTATGTGTTGAACAGACTTTGAAATATTAGTTCTTAGTAATCCTTCCACAGAAACAGTCTTCTGAGTTCTCTTCAAGTGGTGCTGGTGTGAGACATTCATTTTATGAAATCTGTCAACTAAACACTACCTGGCAGGGGTTTTTCCTCTCCCACAGGTATCATGAGATTTGTATCTGAGCTTAGATTTTCCTAATGCACAGCATCTTAATTAATGGAAGTTGGAGGAGTTAATGGATTAACTTTACTTGCCTGGAACCACTCACCAGGTCTCTGTGCCTGATGCCTTTACAAATCTTACATATCAACAGCCATATCAAACACACGTTCAAAGACCATTTGCTCAGCCCTTGTTTGTAGACATTTCTGTGTAGTTGTGTTCAGCTGTGCCTACAGTTGTACCCTCTCAGATAAAACTCAGTCAGCATACCACACTTTTTTAAGACTTGCCTTGGAAGGGTGTTGTCCTTGGCTAACAGCCTTCAGCCTCAACCCTTACACAGATTCAGGGAGGAGGAGGGTTGTTAGAGATAACTATTTTTGCTTTTTGGCCTCTGGCTTTGCCAGACCTTGAGGGGTAGATGAGAAAGGGTTTATCCACTTAAAATATTAGATAATTCCCTCTGTTTTAAATGTAATTTTTCATCTGTAGTTTCTGTGTAGAGAGAAGCAGGTTTTATAAAGTATTGTAGCTGAAGCTCCTCTGAAACACTACTCTCCATAAAAATCTGAGAAGATAAAGATTATAGCTTATTTCCCTTTCACAGGGGTAGTGCATAGAAAATATCATGCTGGCTTTGATAGCTGAGCTGCCAAGTCAAGTATCTGGCACAAGAGTGCTTTGCTTCAAGTGCTGCCCAGTGCCTCCTGGATAAAAGCATTGGCCTGAGGCAGCGAGCTGTTGGCACTGAACTGCACTGGAGGAAGCCCGGAAGCATCCAGTGCCCTAAAGAGAGGAAAAAGTTTTCTGTGAAGTCCTTTCTTACAATTCTTGGTTGTTTTTCCAGCTCCAAAACTTTGTGTAATTGCAACAAGCAAAGAACCTCTCACTGTGATGCCCTTTATAGCCCTTGCCGGTGCTTATTTCCCAGGGACTGCTTTGTGTGACAGACTGTTTTGTATTCTCTTCCCTGCAGATCCTGAGAAAAAGTGAGACCTAAATTTAAGCCTGACTTAAAAGGCATGTTAATTTTTTTTTCTAAGTTGGTTGGTTTTTTGTTTTCCCCCCAGGGTTGTGCAAGGGAAGATGGAGGGTGTTCTGCTGCCAGCAGCATCTTGCAAAACTGTTCCAGAACTAATAGAAGTACGAAAAACCTTACAGCTTGCCAGATCTTCCTGCCAAATGCTGCTGTTACTGGCTTTACTGTTATCAGCTACTTAGATCATCTCTTGCAGTCGGCAAAACTCAGGAGTGGTAATAACACCTTGTATTTACCTGATGCATCATCAGCTCCAATGGATGAACCTCTCAGTGAGCTCAGCAGCTTGTCTAGCCTGAACAGAAACTCCTGTTTTGTTCAGTCTTGTGGCAGAGAAAGTTTTTTAGGGTCCTGGCAACAATCCTTCAGCCTTACTTCATCTGTTGCTTGGGTAACAGCGGAAGACTTTCCCACTCTGGAAGTGGGAAAGCTGGTGAGTGAACAGCATGAAGAAGAGGCGAGGACCGTCTCTGCAGAATTGTGCAGTGTAAGCCTCAGCAATCAAACTCCTTGGGATTCACAGTTTTGCAGCTCTTCCGTGAAGGAAGGAGATAAAGAGAAGGATAATGAATTAAGTTCTCAGCTTAGTTGGATTGACAGTATCTCTGTAACTGGTAAATTGGAGAGAGTACCCTCTCCAAGGAGTGAATGTTCACAAGGAAACTGTTCCAGGTTGTTACAACATCCCTTGGAATCTGAGGTGAAACACATTTGCCTGAAGACTAATAGTAGAAATTATTGTTACCCAGAAAAATTCCACAACTCCTTTGTTTACAAGAAAGGTGCCTTGGCTCCTAATCACGTAACTGTAGCTGGAGTGTCTCAGGTGGACTCTATGCTTTGGGAAGAGCTCCCGTTCTCAGAAAGCCTAAATGATTTGTTAGCCAGAATAGAAGACAGCAAGGATATTGTAACATCACCCAGCCTTGATGCAGGCAGATATGCCCTTCTTGAACATAGAAAGTTGAGTGTAAATCTTAACAAATCATGTCCCAGGCAAACCCCAGTGGCTGGTGATTTGCCAAGGAGCATCTCGGGGAGGTTCTTGCCACCAGCAGAAAATGATAGTTGGGAGAACACACTGTTGGCTTGTCTTCAGTCAAATCCTCCAAGTGATGAGGTGCCACAATGTGAGTCTTCCTCTGGTGTATTTTCTTCAACCATTAAGGAATGTGGATCACCTTGCTTTATATCTAATCCCCACCTACCTCTTATGTCACTGTCCTCACCAGTTACATCAGAGCCTTCTGTTTTTGAGAGCAGATGTGTGCAATCCAAAGAAGCAGATAGTGACACTGCAGATTCATCTTGGTCTTTTATTAGTCTGCATGGAGAAACCTTCTGTTTAAAAAGGAACAAGGCAGCTACCTGTGTGCATTCTGCACATGATAGTTGTTTAGCTGCTTGTGAAAATAAAGAAAATTATTCTTCTACAGCAAGCCAAAAAACAGATCTTACATTCACAGGAGCCTGGGACTCTGATCCAACAACTCCGCACAATACAAGTAGGATATATAAAAGAGAATTAAAACCATTGACAATACTGTCAGATAATACCTTCAAAAGTGTTAGAAGGCGGGAAGTGCAATGGAACAGTGTCTTCCCTGAAGGCAGCTACAATGCTTCTGCTGATCTCTTTGATGCAAGTGCAAGAGAGGTATCAAAACCTGTAGAATTTCTAAATAAATCATGTAATTCTTTAATACAGGAAGATACTTTGACAGAGAAGGTCACAGCTCCTGAATTGATGCTTTGTCCTGGAGCTGTTCCTTGTAACAGTTCAAAACTGAGCTCATCCCTACACAGGTCCCCTCGTGCTTTTAGTAAGCACAGTACGCCCATAGCTTGCTCCTTTCATGACTCAGAATGCAGTTCAGTTAGTGCTCAAGACTTTGTTCCTTATTCACAGTCGACTCCTGTGACAAAACCTCTGCAGAAAGTGTGGCCAGGGGGGGAAAGAAGTTCTTTTGTCACCCTCTTCACCCCTAAAAATCCCACTAAAGTGCATTCCAAATGCAAGCGATCTAGGTCTTCCTTTCAAAACACTCTGCTGCAGCAGCTTACTGGCAAGTTAGTGAAACGTGGGGGGCCAAGTAGCAGGGAAGACAAAGAAAGTAGTAGCTCTGCTTCACAGCAGTTCCTTAACAGCCAACTGCCTGCCAACTTTGAGGAGTGGATCCCTCCCTCTTCAAACAAAAGGCATAATCCAACTGTGCCTTTAAATTTAAAAAGAATGTGCTGGGCTACTGACTTGCAATCCACCTGTGGGCACACTGGCAGGGACCCTGTTCCTGAAAGCAGAGAGAACAGTGAAGATTATGAAAATTTTGCCCAAAACGAGAGACTAAGCCCTGGGGACACAGCTAGTGTTGTAAGAACTCCTTTATCTGCAGGTGTCACCAATGCCTTGTTTTTGAAAGATACAGTCCTGGAAACTTGTTCCCCTTCAGAATGCAAGAATCGCCTTTCAAGTGGAAATTATTCAGGAGGTATATTGGAAAGGCCGACTGGCTGGTCTCCTGAGTTGTTCTTCCAAGCACGGACCCCTTTTTCCAATAAGCCAAAATACTAGAAAAAAGATATTTCAATGCTGTGTTCTTTTTAATTATTTCTGTTAAACTTCTGGGAAGGATCCAGCAGGATAAAAGAGCTATTTAAGAACTAAATTGTTTATACACCTATTGGCATATGTCTTGCTAAGATGAGTTGTGTTTATTTGCAGATGTTTGTACCACAGAAATGGGGAAAATCAAAGCTTGCAGTTACTTTATTTTATTGTAAATTAACTCGAGGATGTGCAATAAAAACTTTTGTAAATATGTGAGTATTGAATAGATCTCACTTTATCGAGTACAGGTAAAGTGGAGTGTTTTAATGTTGCACTATTGTCTTTTCATCACAAGAGCAGCCCTGGAGTCCATGTCCACTCCAGCTTATTACCTGATGAGACTCTCTGGAGAAAGGCCAAATTTTCATCGAAAAATTTCAAATGCCATATGAGCGCCTTGTCTTTGAGCCCGTTTGGATCTGTGACAGCCTTGAACTGGGGGGAGGGCACCATCCTGAGAGGTTGGTAGCAGGTCCCAGTTTTCCTGTAAGATTTTTCAAGTTAAAGACTGCTAGTAGCAGATTCCTGACAGCGTCTTTCCCTTGTTTTGAGGTCTTCCATATCCCTCACCCTTAAACAGCTGCATTTAGGGTCACTGAATAGAGAAATCTTGGATGTGTTGCTGCAAGTTTGTATGTCAGGTCCTGCAGAAGGGTGTGGGAATCTGGTAGCACAGGATGTCGTCAGCATGAAAAACTGACATTTTGTTGCAAATGAGTGTTTTTAAGGTCATAGTGCAGCTCAAAGGGGCCAGAGAGGATGCACCATCACACTTGTAGAACCAGATGCAGACCTGAAAGTACCTGCTGCGACTTTTTATTTTTTCTTTTGAGGCATAAAATGAATGTGCACCATTCACATTGTGACTGGTGACAGGGAGGTCTTACTTGGTTCATTCTCAGCTGCAAGGTGGACATTTTTGCATTCCTGTGTTTGAGGCCTCACCTCATTTTTATTGCACCTACTTAAGCCCCAGAGTCAGTGTTTGTTCAGAAAAGTTTTGTGTCTCAGCATGCAAGGAACAAATTGTATCAATACTAGTATCTGAAGCACTTTCAGGTTATAAAGACAGCACTTCTGCCTTAGGAAACCTGAGAGGCAGACGTTGCTGTAAGTTAGAAGAGTATTGTGGGAATGTATCATTTTGTGCTCACTTTGTTCCTATGTATTTTACTCACTATATGTTGTTGATCATTGTTGGATTCAAGGCTAGAAGTGTTTCATGTGTGACTGAAAGGCTTCTCTAACTTCACAGTCCCCTAGTCTCACAGTAGGTACCTCAGTGGGGCATCCACACAGACCACCAAATTCGGGCAGGACCTTCCTAAGGCAGCCAACAGAAACCATGTTTGGGATAGATGGAAAAAACACCTTTGGAATTTGAGCTGTAATCTTTGTGTGCCTTCATATCTCTTCTACGAAATAGTTATGTACCTGCTCATTAATTTCAGGAAACTTGGGGAAGTATGAGGGCATTTACTTTTGCCACCTTGTACCTTACCTACTATTTTTAGCATGGATCACCATTACAAAGCATATAGGTAAACCTTTTTAGATTCTCAGTCTCTACCCTAAGTTCTGCACCTTCTAATCGAATGCATTTCCCGTTGAGGGATGGGAAGGAGAAGAGTATTTGAAATCAAACAAGCTGCTTCTGCAGCTGAGCAGGGTATAAATGAGGTACAGGCTCTCCTGCAAGGGTATGGGTGTACTCAGACTGCAGGCTGACCAAAGAAAACAGCAAGCAGCAAGTCTGTACAGGTGAATTCCCTTTACAAAGAAACTTTTATAAAGAAGCTTTTTCCACTCAGCATTGGTTTGTTGGTTTGGTTTTTTTCACTCCTTACAGTTGAGAAAACCTAGGCACAGGTTCAAAGACTTGCCTGACATAAGACCAGGGAGTCCAGCTCTGGAGACCCTAAATTACCATCTTTTCACTGTCCTACCCTGCAAGTTACTAAAGCACACCCCAAAAGTTCTTCCCAGTGTTTAAGGATGCTGCAACAGCAGATGGCAGTGGAAAGAGGCTCAAGATTTCTTCTTATGAGTCCAAGCCTAGATCCCCACAGTCCCTGAAAGTTAAATAAAAGAGAAAGGAAAATCTAGTTATAGCAAAGAAAGAGGCAAAAAGGAGCAGAATTAGACATCACAATTTGATGATGTTTAATTGATAAATTGATTATGTTTTTAAGAGAGAGAGGGAAAATTTACCTTAGATATGCAGAAGAAATCCTTCACTATGCAGATGGTGAGATACTTGCCCGGAGAAGTTGTGGTTACCCCATCCCTGGCAGTGTGCTCAAAGCCAGGCTGGATGGGGCTCTGAGTAACCTGGTCTGGTAGAAGGTGTCCCTGCCCATGGCAGGGGTGGTTGGAACAAGATGATCTGTAAGATCATTTCAACTCAAACCATTCTGTGATTCACTGACCAAAGTAACCACAAACATCATGCCTGCAAATGGAGTCACTTGTTAAGTGTGGTGCCAGTGACACCACTGCTGCCCAACACAGCAATGCTGCACTGTAAGGGACAAACAGCTCCATAATCAAGGCTTCTTGGCACAGCCAAAGGGACGTGAGAGTAACAGCAGAAGCCATATGGACTTTGCAAACTGTTGATGACTTACCCAGCAGAGCTTTAGCCCTGCATTTGACAGCAAATCAAGTGTACCAGAGCTGCACCATGGTTGCTTCATTCAGGATAGTGCAGGGCTCCGAAGTGAGGCCAAGTGAGACGGCCTGTGCCTGCACCTGTATTTACCAATGCTATGCCTGTTGAAAAGATTTTATTTATTGCAAATAAAATCCTACTTGATGAATCCTTGGGGCAAGTGGAAAAGGAGTAAGAAATGTTTTCTGCCTTGGTAAATCTGCATTTATAGCTTATGTAGAAGAAATAAAGGGAAAGACAACATTACTCATACTCAAATCACTGAGCACAGGGAAGGCAATACAGAAAAAGTTTTAAGACATCATAAAACTTGAAAACTAGTTGCTTCTAGTACAGCACATAGTAGGAAACCGCAGTTATCATTGGCTCTCTAAGCACTCCCTTGTGATGAACTAGACAGACACCCACTTTATCACAGTGGTTAGGCCTGATCCAAGTGATACGCCAGAGACTTGATACAGCTATGAAACACTGCCAGAGCTTCTACATCATACACCTGACAGCATCTTGACATGAAATGTTTGGTCCAGCATGAGTGATTTTTCTCAGCAGACAATTCATTCACATACTATGGTAAGCAATAGCTTTGGTGCAAGCTGATGTGATTATAATTGTAAGCTTGTACAGAAAGACTAGAGCTCAGCATGTTTAATTCTGAAGGTAATAAAACTCCTGGAAATGCATACTGACTTTGTGATTGAATCCCTTTGCATAAAAATCCATAAATCAAGACTAGATTTTAAATTAGGTAGGACTTTCTGTGGCATGCCATTGAAATTAATGCAGGGCAGTCAGATCTCTGCTGCTTTGTGGAAGAGGACTGCACACAGAATGAGGAAAAAGTACTGTTGTGTGACAGGCCCCTGTCAGCAAGGTGACATCTTCTGGACAGAGCTCCTCATGTGCTCGGTAGGGAGATTGACCATGAGAGGGTGGAAGAGAGGCAGTAAAAGCTCTCTTGGTTTTTCTCCTATAGTCTGTCAGTCTTGTATTTTTTCCCCTGGGCAGCTTGTTTGCTTTTTACAGGGAGCCTTTGTGTGCTCACAATCCTTTCACCCACAGCAAAGCCTGGCACAGGCTGGCCCTTGCTGCTACACCTGATGAACAAGAAGAAGGTTGCACATCCCACTGGTTAGAGGCTCCTTGCAAGGAAGGGCTGCTACTATTCACCTGCCCTTTACTTTTCCCCAGAAAGAGATTAGTCTCCCTTCTCCAGCCTTCACCCCCACAGGCAACACACTCCATCCCTCTACTCACCTCCTGAGCTGTCTGAGTATTAAGGATATTTCCTTCTCCTCCCTTTGTTCCATTCCTTCCTAGAAGCATGCAGGGACTTTTCACTATCCAAATATCTCTCTGTTCTCTCAGTGCCTCAAATTGCCAGCTTCCTGGGGAACACAGAGCAGATGGCCCAGCACTCATGACAGACATTGACCAAGGAAGGAGCTTCAAGGTCAGCGGAAGAGGCAATAAAAGACACATGGTTTCTTCAAGCTTCACAGCTTGTTCCTCAGCATAAGTGTTAGCACAAGTCATCTTTGAAGTGGAGCAGAGCACAGGGGAGGAAACTTGATCCCCAGAATGAGTCAGAGCACAAATTTTATAAATATTTACCAAAAGACTAAAGGCTTAAAATGAGAGATCTTGCGCAAAAGAATTCTAGGCCTTCAGGAGGGCAGGTCATTGGGGAACACCAGGGGAGTTCAATGGGCACAAAAAGAGCAAGTTGAAGACTGAGGAGAAAAAAGTCACTGGGACAAAGAATCAAAGATAACTGAAGTATCCAACCATCATCTTTATCCAACACAAACCTAACACCGTGCTTAGGACAAGAGTTTAGCCTGCTACAGGTTTGCAACGACAGTGAGTGGGATGGTGCCTCTGTCGAAGACCACCCTCTAGTGACTGATACCGGCATTTCTTTGGCTATGATCTCTCCTGCTTTAAATAATTATTTTTTTCTCTTCTAGTGAAAAGGGACATCACTCCCATGGGCAGCAGCTCTACATCTGCTCTTCTTGTGAGGCGTCAATGCTGCAAGAGCCTTGGTATGCTCAACCCAAGCAGAAAACCTTCAGCAGCCATTCATTTGTTGGTCTGATGCTACATCATGTCAAGTGAATACCTTGTATTTAAGGCAACTTTGCTTTGCACTTTAAATCAAAAACCACACAAATCAAACACTTTGAATACCAAGTGGAAAGGATTAAACATTTATTTACATACAGATACACATGTAAGCAATTTCTAAGTATAAAAAAGGACATTACAAATAAACATGAAGCATCATACATTCATCATCCTGGTCATCCAAAATACATTCCTTTCTCAAGCCCACTGTACCACACTTGACCACAAGAACTTAAAGAGACAAGCCAAATGCTTCTGACAGTCAATGATTCACAGTTTGGTGATTTGCTAACACCTATACCCTCCCCAAAGACAGCACTACCCCAACAGCGAGATCAATGGTCTGACCAGCTGTAGTGCATTTTTTCCACTGAAATGGTTGTGCTTGATCAACAAGAAACACATTCCCTCGTCATCCTTCTGGCTACATGTTTAAGAATCAGGGTTCTTGCTGAAATTCTGTATATTGTGCTAAATTCACAATTGTTGGGGAAAAGACAGCAGAGCTTTGTGGGAAAAACTCCAACCCAGAAATTCCTTTAATGCTGTGACTTCCCTGGCATGGGAATCGCAAACAAAATGCTGTTGTTAGTTCTTAAGCAGATTTTTAAAGTACAATTCAAACTACAGTTGATGGTATAAAACATACTTTGTTCATGCTGTAAAAAAAATTACGTGCTTCAATGTTGATTTGATAGTAATCAAAGCTGAGGGTAATTCAGATTTTCTCCTGAGGAAATGAAGATGCCTTTGTAGCATCTCTAAAAATTATCATAGCTTTCAGGAAAGAGGAAATGTTTTAGATTCAAAAACCTAAAGGTAATGCAGAGCACGACAAACTTGTCAGTTAGATAACATTACAAAGGGAAACAAGCCAGTAAACATAAAATTAAAATGCCTACTCAAAGTATTAATGAATTCAAATGAGAGCTGGGTGAGTCTTCTTGTATAGATCAAAGGCAGTTTGGAAAAAAACTCATGATCTGCAAATTCACAGAACAGCCAAATATGTGCAACAGAACAGAGTGAAGTGGAAATAAAAAAGCAGAAAGAGCCATGTCCCATATTGACAGCTGAGTGACTGCAGCTGCTCCAATCTCATGGGTTTTGTTTGTTTTTTTTTTCCTTTTGTAAACAGCTGTAGAGAATAAAATGGATGTGGCATATCTGCAGTGCATCTTATTATGCTAAAAACCATGGCATATTTTAAACTACTTCCCTAATATCCAGAGATATACTTGTCATTCCAAATCAGCATAGCAACAAGCACTGGGCTTGCTCCATACTCTCATTACATGGCCTTTTCTCCACTAAAATGTTGGCTTCAGAAGTTAGTTTTTCCCCTTCAGTGCTGGCTGTATGTGGGGGTGAGTGGTAACCCTTTCTTCCAAACAGTCTGCAGGAGTTGAGGCAATTGCAATGCCTGAAATCATGGCAGCTGCCCCTACCACAGACCAAGTATTTTATTCTCACTCCATTAAAATGTAAAAACAGTATTCCCTCTCCTCCGCCTGCCCCTCTGTAAAGACTTGGCTGCTGGGGGACACTGTGGCCACTACATTTACTAAAGCTCATGCCAGTGATGCAACCCAGCCCCTCGGAGATTTTCACACCACTGCTCCCATGACAGCTCAGAATGACTCTCCTCCACATAGCTCTAAGTCTCACTGGCTGGAGAGCAGCATCCACTTGCTCACTTGTACCAATCCCTGCCCCTCATTCTTAACATCTGAATCACTTGTATTGGTCCCATAAGAAAGGACACATTTCTTATGGGGTGCCCTAGCTGGAATGGGCTTACTGAATTATTAACTTTATGTCCATAGCAAGGAGCTCGAGGTGGCACAGAAGATGAGCCACTGATGCTCTTCCTTCTAACCAAAGCAGGGGTGAGAGCCAGTGGTTCATGCAACCAGGACACCATGCAACTCAGTCTGAGATCTCCCTTCACAGTGCTTGAGGCATGAGCAGTATTGTGAAAGAACAGTCACTGATGAGAGGTACAAGAG